TCTTACGAGAGATGGAAGGAACGGCCGTTGAGAGGCCGCGGACATTTGACTCGGAGATTCGCGATTCCGATAAGACGATAGAATCGCGTTGCGGTGTTATGAATATGCAAACCGGGCATATCTTTGAAGATCAGGCTGTCTGATTTTCCTGCCTGATTTTTCTAATTGCGTAACGCGCCAAGGCGCAGATGTCGTCGCGAAAAGAATTTCAGCGCGCGCGCGCGCGGCCACGATAAGGCTTGTTTCGAAGGTATACGTATTTTTTTTCCGCGGCTTCGTTACAGCGATAACGCGGAGCGGAATTGAAAATAGCTGATCGCCTTCACCTCGGTCGAAGGCGATTAATCATTATTAGACCTACTAGAGGTTAATATACAGGCGAAGACGAACCCGCTCGTCGCGAGTGTTTCGAAAACACAGTACGGGGACGGTCGTCGCGATAGCACCGGCGATTAAAAAGCGACGTCACGTTAAATATCTCGATCGTTATCAGTACATTCCGAACGAGGATGAACAAGCGTTTAACATACTTAATGCGACGCTATCGTACCGCGGATAATTATAGCGCTGACAAAGACACGGTCGACGATGCCCGCGATTATTAATTCTCCTATAGGAATAATAAGAATAATAAGACTTCGTGCGATCGCACGAATGAAGGAGGGAATACGAGTAAGCCTGCGGTAATTACAGCGGAGGAGGGACCGAGGGACAAATCACATCGCCCAAGAAGAAGCAGGCTCAGCGATGGTCACGGCATGTCAGGAAACAACGGTCCAGGAGATCTCGCAGAAGCGTCGAGGCGACGCCGATGACCCACGAAACTACGACTACGGTCGACGGTGAGTGCCGACGAAGGAAATTTTGCTATCGAATATAAAACGCGGCGCGCGTGTGCCGCGTAAGTAACGTAACGCTGCTAAGAATACACGAGGCGTCTCTCCTTGAAGGAATCCCGCTACAATCGCCGCTGCGTTCCGCAAATCGCGTGTATGGGTAAGTATAAGTGCATGACTCGCGTCCACGTAAGAGATTTTCGCGTGGGACTCGCTCCTTCGGAGAGAGAGAGCGAAACGCCATAAAGCATTGTGCGTTGACTTGAAATTATGCGGCGCACGTACCGTCAATTAAGATCCGTCGTTGCAAGGATGTCGAGTGACGTTTTGCGAAAATCAGAGTAGTAATTTTATCTTACTCTGTTACGTTAAGTTACAACGCAACGGGTATTTTTTTCGTCGTGTTTCTTGAGATTTTAATTTATATATTGAATACAATTTCGACGTGAGATTGTTTATCTGTGACGCTTCTCGCAAGATATACCAGTCTGCCAGCGGTCTGATGGCAGACGGCAAAAATAGATGAATGCGCCGCTAAGATAGGAGTAGATTAAGAATAAGTTGTAGGTACAGTTGTCGACAATGTCGATATTTATAAGCGTGTTACGCAGATATTTGCATCACGGAACTACCCAGTGACTCTTGAGCAGTTGGGTGGCTGCGTTTCTCAAACCGTGTCGACAATTCGTACTTTCGACATCGCCCGATGATGTAGCCTTCCTAAAAGACCACGTCGCACGTGACACAGGACTTGCACAAGCCTTTTGCCATTCGAGCAGTAACGCGTGGCTCTCTCGGCACAAAAACGGAATTCAACGGATCGCATCCGTAAACATTCGTATACGATAATACTCGAATAAGAGACGAGGTGCTATTATCAAGATCTGTCCGACGATAGGAAAGATAAATAAGAAATTTATTGATGAATGAGTACCGAGAAGCTGATAGAATTATCAAGATTCTATTATTAGAAACGTGTTATAAAAATCCATTGATAAATTTAATAATTATTAATTTATAAATGAATTTTATATAATACAATTACAATACAATTAATGCAATTAATGCAATTAGAGTTTGAATTAAGATAAATAATATTAATCAGTCAATTAATAAATTAGAATTCAAATCCTTCAAATCATAATTATTGGAAATATTATATGAAAAGTGTATCACAAAATCATATAAATTAATTTTATAAATTAACATGTAAATCTGAAATTTCCTCCGATATTTTTTCATTTATTACTTTCGCAAAAAAATTGCAGCTCAACAAATGAAAATCATCGTCATCAGTAGGAATTATTCTCTCGTATTAAAATAGCGCAATAATCAAGCCTCTCTCGTCAAGATTTTTTTTATCGATGACGAAAGATACATTCGCGAATTGGATTATAGATCGATGTGAAGCTTTTACTTTCTGAAAATATGTGTGTATGTATGTATGTGTGTTTCGGCGAGTTTAATGCCAGTCCATAATTACATCCGAGAAAGTTCCGATGAGGATACCGATTTTTCAATATCAGACGACGCTCTTTCGAGATCTTTCGCCACGTCTTCGGGATTTCCAAACTCGGATTGACACCGCTCGGCGATTAATATTAAACGACTCTTCGATACAATTCTCGGCGGTGTGAGTGTATCTCAACAGTGTTGGTCATGGCCGTGAACGCGGTTTTGCGACTTTGTGCAAAACGAGACAACGGGCGAAACGAGCAGTAATCCGCAACCGCGTTTGTTCCGCGACGAGCGTCGTGTTCGAAGGACGGTGGGCGGTGTAATTGACTTGACGTGTATGCTGCTAGTACCGCCTTTAAAGTAATTGAAAGACAAGGCCGCGCGAGGTCGAGGTGCCGCGACAAAGCATCTACTCTCCATTAATTCCGAGTTCCGCTGCACATCGCCGCGTGATCGGAATGCGTACGCAGTTTACGCGCGAGGAACGCGAGCCGAACGCGCGAGACGATGATCCACCGACGACGGTGATTTCGACATCGAGTTCGTTTCGACATCGAATTATCCTGCGAAAGTTGGGTAAATTAGAGGAAGGAGGAGGTTGGAGGAAAATTCTAATTATTCCAAGATTAGCCACAGTAGTCATATATTATTATCGCTTTAGCGAATAAGAATAGTAGAAATGCCATTATTTTTATTAATTATTATTAATATTATTGCTCCTTTAATTAAGGAAATTTATTTTTCTAATCTCTGTGAGAATAATCCACTCGTATTTAAATGGCAATAAGAAAATTGACAAACATTAATTCTTGCAAAGTTGTATTATATATAAGTTTTATTACCCGTTTATATGTTTTCTCTATTTTCTCTCTTGCTTTATTTGTTTTATTATCAAGATAGGTACTTTCGTTTATTAGAAAAGTCTCTTTTTATTCCACATTTGGCATGCGGAACTAAGAGAGAACTAAGAGAGAATTCAAGAATTTTGTACGATAATATGTATGACTTCGTAATTATTAATTCAATTTTACAGAATTTCACGCTTTATCACAATTGTTTAATTCTCTTATTTTTCTTATATGCCTTATATTTAAATATGAGCTGTTCTTACAGAATCTTTAAAAAATAATTTTATTTTTTATTTAAAGAAGCAATGATATTAATATTTTTAAAAATTGATTTTACAACAATTTTTTACTTACAGATAATTCAGTGCATTTTTATTGTTAAAACCGAATGATACATAATGATGCATTAATATGAATAATTATACATATTCATACGGATAATTTATGGTAACTAATTAACATTTTGTGCGTGCTAAGGGAAATCCATAGAATACTATTAAATGAATTTTCACCGCACTAAACTTCTCCTAACTCATACCTCACGCTAATTACACAACATTAATTCATTTCGAACATTGTTTTCACGTTAATACCATCGTCAATCGTCTGGAAAGCGTCGGTGTTTCTACTGACAACGCGTATGTTGTATAACTTATCGGAAAGTCTCGATTTAATTGAATCTAGCCTAGAGCGGAATGACGAGCGGGATTTATGAATAAAAATACCGACCGGCGAAGAGGCCGTTCAGTTTCGCGAGGACGTCGGCACGACGCATTGTACCGTGATATCAGTAAGGATGGTCACGCACAGTGTTCAGGTAAAAGTTACTTGTTCGTCACACGTGTTTCTACGACGGACGTAATCACGTAACGAGCGCTCACATGCGTACGTAATTGCCCTTTTTTCCTCCTCTTCGCACATACAATCGCCATATGGGTCGCCATCCGTCAGTTTGATAGACTAGGATGTCGTAAGCCGTTCGCCGTGACGTCCAAGTGCGCGAGAATCCTCTTCTACTCGCGGGAGAATCCAACGCGAGATGTGAGAAACGATGACCTACACAGGAGAATAGTTTAAACGACTTGGGCTCGGTTATACCCCACGGTATTTAGGTTTTAAGTGAGAAAATATTTAAATTAGTCTCTTTTTTTTTATCTTAAAACTATCTAGCTTAAAATAAATTTCTTAATGTTAAAATTTTTAATATTAAGATATTAAGTAATTGTTTCCGAATTTATGGATATAAATTCAATTAAGAAAAATGGAAAATTATAAGACACTTAAAATTCTGTCTGCCGAGTGATGCCATATCTATGGTATTATCCCACCAAAGCAAGAGCGAAACCTAAAATTAGTTTTAATTTGCACTGATTTTAATAAAATAGGCGCAAATTAAAATATTATAGTTCAGGTTTAGCTTTTGCTTTGGTATAGCAAATTAAAAATTTTTAAGTAAAAATAATATTAGTGCAATCAACAGGTGTTGGATGTAAGCGAGACACGGTTGTTACGATCTAAAAATTCGCTAATCGAAATTTAGGTTGGATAACGCGTGATGCGAGAACGAAGTAGAGATAACGCTAATAAATTTAATATCTTACCACGTATCTTACTCTTTGCCGATAAGCCGAGGCAAAAAAAATTGAAAACGGTTGAATGTGCCGTTTTATGGAAAAACGATTTCATTTTGCACGGTCATTGCCTCGGATATGTATTAACAATCGGCTTGAACGTAAGCTTGCTGCACGCATGATGCGCACGATAATGAAAATCTTCTATCTATCCTAATACTATTTCATCTGTACATTAATATTAGGAAATGAGGAAACGTTTATCATTCGTTTTCCCGATGGTCGCTATATTTGTCACTGCAGTATCGACAAGAAACCGAGAAAATTTTTACGAATACTCGTCAAACTTTCATAAATCGACATTTCTATGAAAAATAAGATTTATTATTCTTCACGGAAATACTTGATGAAGTTTCTCACGAAACACAGTGCTTGACAATGTAAACTTATTTCGCCAGTAGATACAGCCTTTAAAGGGGTCTTCACACAACTAAACATTTTTAATATATAAGATATGTCATTGCATATTGCATTGGATTGTAATCTATTTGATCTCTTTACGAAGAAATAATAATTATTAGGAATAAAATTGCCATATTGTAATGTTTTTCTTTCGCATGTAGATTTTTTAATTATTCATCTAATGATTAATCAAATAAGAAAATTATTTTTTTACATTATAAGCAATTGAAAATGTTTCTTGAAAAAATTTCATGTCTAAAAATCATTTAAAAAAATTTTTTTATTTTTAAAAAGTTTGATGCAAAATGGAAGGGCAACAAGTTTTTTTCAGGAAATATGATGTAAAATATAGAAAAAAAAAATTTTTATAAATTCAAAAAATGTTATATTTAGAATCGTAAGTCAATTTTAAATTTCCGTATTCAATATTTGTTTTTCTTATAGTAGATTTTCATATATCAGTATGTGCATCTACTGATAATGTACGTATTCACATTAATAATTCAAATATTCTCACAATAGACAAACTTTCAACCTTTCTTCGTATTTGATAGCATCTCAACGTTTCTAATAACACTCGAAAAACTACTGAAAGTAATTTATTTCATTTAAATAATCACCGCACGCACCGCTCTGACATTATCCTCCGGATACTTCCTCACCGTGTGGGAGTCGCCTTAAGGAGATCGTGTGAGAGCCCCTTAAGAAACCAGCGCGCGAGGTGAAAGCGCCAATTGCGCGCTCTCATTGTCAGTCACGGCCGAGCCGCGAGCTGTACGGTCGCTTCTCTCGTGGTTCTCTCGCCGATTCGCGCAGCACGAAAATCCGGCCGGATCTCATCGTCGTTCTTGCCGTCGCCGTTCTCATCGTCATCGTCGTCGCCGCGCAAAAGACGAAGCCACACACGCCGAGCGTCGCGCGTTTTGCGAAGCGGACGCGTCCACGTCGGAGCTCATTTCACTCGTCCGGAGCTGCGCGTCGAGACGAGATGTAGAAATGAGAGAGACGCTGAAGAACCGACGACCCAACACGCAAGGTGAGAAAACGAGGCGAGCCCGCCTCGTTACGCCGCCTGTCCGCGCGCTGTTCTCCAATGCTGGATTTTGAACGAGGCCTCCCGGAGAACAACGGCGAGGAGATTCCCTCGCGAACGTCCTTGATCCGCGGTGATACCGCGTCGCCGGTTCTCCGGATCTCTAATATCCATTTTTACCGATGACTAAATTCGTTTTTGGTTTCCTTTTAGTGTTAAGAATTAGAAAAGGATAAAGGGTAAATCAAGTTAGTCTACATTGATAGAGATATGATAATTTTTTAATTGTCTTTTATGCTCAGTTTGAAATTTTTCCTTTTAGGTTTAAGTAATTGCCGCGTCGTCATTGCCGCGTCAATTCCAGCGCGATCACGTGACGATTTCATTTCGACATTTATTCGAGATCCAACGAAATTTCGATATACGTTTCATGATTTTATCCTTGTTTTTATATTTTTTTCTATTTGTAGCTCGGTTAAAAGGACTCGAATGTCAATGGATTAATTCATCAAAATTCGTATTCTGTTTTATCATAGATAATAATAATAATGGTATCTATCGATGAGATCGACACGAGTTACCTCGATCTCGGAGAAGCGGCACGAGAGAGTAAAAAGAGTTTCTACTTTCATCGGTAATAGGACTCGAAGAGGATCGTAGTAAAACGCGATTACACTCTCCCTTTCTTCTCGGAAAAGCTGATTTGAAATCGCATTCGTCATCGTTCACGAATAAATTTTATTTTATCCATAAAATCTCCAAAGAAGCTTGAAGAACTGGCGTCGCACGCATTACGTAAAATCATCGATCGCCGACATCGACTCGGCGAAACGAAAGTCGTCGTAGATGGCACACGAAATTCCATCGCGGTGGGGAATCCGATCGCGTATTTTGCCATCCACGACCATATTTGACTCACCTCGTATTAACATTTGCCCCTGTCGCGTCGATCCTCTGCACCCCTCTCGCGTTCTCCAGCATCAGCGCGCGTGGGCAGGCCTCCAAATCCCTTAGCCGGTTCGGTTTGGCGTGTCTGACCTTGAAACCGGATGATTTCAAGTGGCCGTCAGCCTGGGCGGCGGATCGGTGCTTCTCATCGGCTGCGAGCCGCAGAGGACCGCCGGAGAATGGAAATCGGCGTGCCAGATCGACGATCTGCCGCAGAAGACCCAAGGCCTGGTGCAGCTGCGCGTAATCAACCTCGACGAGGACGTGGACACTCAGGAGACGTCGTGTTATGTGCACGAAGGTACCTGCGCGAGGTACCATGGTTGACGCAAGTGAAAACGCGAGCGAAGAGAATATATTGTCGAAGGAATATATTGTCGATCGAGAAAGATTTTTCAATGATTCCCGAAAGATTTCTGAAAAAGAAAATCTTTGAAAGATTTTTGAAAGATTCTTTGCCTTTTATGTTTTGATCACCTTCGCGTTTTGTTGTTTTAAGATACTCTAAATTTCTCGAGAAACAATGTATGTTTTTTTCTGTTTGTTTTAATACGATTTTTTGAACATCCTTGCAACGATGAATATTAATTTAAACGATAAATTATTCGGTGACTCACGCCTTTTTTGAGATATTCGAATATAATAACGCGCTTCTGTAACTCTCTAACATTTAGCGCATTAGTCATTAATTACGGTTTAAATGCGATTTAAACTGCAGTTTAATTACTTAGATTAAAACATTTTGACCTTTTAGTGAACAACCTCATAGAAACACTTTCTCGCTACATCCAGAGTTTTTAAGAAGACGCGAAGAATGCTTTGCGAACACAACATCCTCGTAATAGCTCGGTAACTTCCCGTTTTCCTGACTTCGGACTTTCTCTTTATCAGACAATGTTTCCGACGACAGCACATATGAGAGCCTGTACTCCTATCAGCCGGATGACTTCAGCAGCGATTCGGAGACGGAGGTGGGCGATAGTCAACGGCCGCTTGACGATCGTGTGATCGATACCTATCTGGTATGCCCCATAAGGCCAACTCCGCCGCCACCAAGGGAGGTCAGTTTGACCCAAACTTTGGGCAGGCGGATAAAGATGCTGCGGAGGACCTGGAGCATCACCAAGGGTAGCCTGGGCAAGATCAGACGGCGGACGTCCGTCGACGAGTCCAGCTTCGACGAGAAGGAACAATCCGGCAATGAGAATCACGCCGACGCTGGGAAGTACTTTAATTTCCGGCTGAAGCACTTCAGCCGGAAGAGCGTCATTGGCCCGCCGACTTTCTACCTTGATGAGAACGACAGCACCGTTGAGACGCGCGACAACAACAACGGCAGCATCAAGGAGGCGATCTACACCAACAGCCAGTACATGGGAAGCGGCAGCGACGACTCCTCGACAACTCCAACTGCCGATGTCGGTGAGTCTCGTTTGTTAATCGTTATTTTTTTTTCTCTCTCTTTTAATTTAAGAGTCGGCAGGAGTGACGGGCTAACTCCAACTTGATCTAAAATGATTATCTACTATCCTTATTTACAGTGCAGATATGTATCTGTACTCAATTATATTTTGTCTTATAGAAACGATGTTTTGTTCATGAAACTTTGTTAAGATAATTTCTTTTACAATTACGAAGCTACCTACAATTTTACAATTTAGCTCTTAAATAATTAATTAAAATAAATGTATTTATTCCTATCTATTCCTTATTCACAGTGCAGATATATATTTGAGTACACCCATATATTATTTCGTAGAAGCAATATTCTGCAATATTCTGAGTCTTTTTCTATGTATTTTTGATAAAATTATGACTCTTGCTACAGAGCCGATTTTGCAATTTGGCTCTTAAAAAAAATTTACAATAGATGAAAATATTTGCACCCTATTGTCCTATAGTGCAAATCTATTTACGCATAAATGAATTATTTATTTTCACACATTTTCTTACAAAAATCGTTCTGTAGCTTTCGTCAGGCAAATATTCTGATTATAAATATCATAATTATATAGCTTTTCTCGCAGCATTTTGGCTGTAATATGAGTGAAAAGGAATTTATCTCTCCTGATAGAGGTCTCTCCTGCCGATCCTTAATTGAATATCTACGTGGAAAGAACAGTTTTGCTAAATAGAATTAAAATTTGACGAGATTCAGATATAAAAATAACTTTTTGTGCCATCAAAATTACGTATAATATTTAAATTATAGTTGCTGGAATATTGTAAAAAATTTTTGCAGTATTATCATGGTTAAGCGTCTTACATAACAATTTGGATAGTCCAATAAAATTATTTTCATCTGTATTCAGCCAAAGTTTTAGATACTTCATCAAAATCGTTATTTCTGTGTGGTTCCACATGAATGCGCTTTGATAAATTGAGAAATGAAATTAAATTAGAATAAATAAAGCCTCTCTTGAGAGGTAGAATATTACGGATATTAGTTTTAGAAGATTCTAGGGGAACGTGGAATAATAATGGTAAACCGATCTACTAGAAGGATAACTCGTCGTGAATTTCTCTGAATAATAAATTAGAAATCACACAAACGGTCGCGAGGGAAAACGTGTTTTATTGGCGCATCAACGAGAGTGACCCGATTTTACCGAGCAAAAAGCAAGCTAAATTCAGCAAGTTTTATAGGCCGAGTATTGAGCTTTTATTTCATGGTTTTCGGAATATTCTCACACGCATAAAAATGCCGCTCGCTGCACCGATGCGTAAAAAGCGTACGCTTGTATCATACTTTCACGAGACTCTAATGGCACTTCCTCCCTAATTAATTAACGTATACAGAATTTACGAGTTATGCGTGCGCTTCTCGACTGTGCGTGCATCGTTTGACTGTTGCTCGTACTCTCGCACGAGAATATCATATCGACATTGACAAAATATTATCCTTTCAGATCATTACAGCGTGCTCGCCGATCAGGAGCCTCTCTACCAGTTTTACGCGGCCGCGGTGGCTCGTGTTGCTTTCGAATCGGATTCTGAAGGCTACGAAGAGGTAATAATCTCGCATTACTTATGCTAAAACTCATATGTAAGAACAAGAAAGGTATCCCTCTAAAATATTCTCCAAACAGATTAGCTTTGCTAAATATTCTCAGGGTAACTTTTAATAAAATGCAACTATAAAAAGGTTGTATTTTTACTGATGTTTTTTGTAAACGAAAAATTAACTTTTTATGACATAACTTATTGACATTGACTTTCTTCACGACTTTCTTCAATCAAGAAATGATAGAAAATTTATCTAATTTTTTTACTTTAATATTTTATTTACCATGATTTATTAAAATCTGTAATTTGTAAATTTTTTAATAATAAACCTATTTAAGATAATTGACAAATTATTTTTTTATATTATAGTTATTTATAGAATTCAATAATACATTTTGTTGCTTTATGATAATATTTTATTGATTATAATTTTTCATTTACAGGTAGAAGATATAATGTGGAAGACGGAATCAACTGCAGCGGATCTTGCCAGAGCGGGACAAAGAATGCTCTGGTGTCACACTCCACAAGTAATACACAGCGGTCTCTTACGTAAGTTAGAAAATCGTATATTTAATTATAAAAATTTTTTTTTATGTAAGATATGTCTGGAAAAACATAGAATAAGAATGCAGAAAAATTAACAAAAATATGTTCAACATTAGAGAAACTAACGCCAGAGGAAAAGAAGATTCAGGAGACGAAATTTGAGATCTTGACTTCTGAAGCATCGTACTTAAATTCTCTTCGGGTCCTGGAAAACGAGTTCCTCAATAATCATACACTAATAAATGAGATTCTAACACCGATTGAGAGAAAAAAATTATTTGGCGGGGTGCCGAGTGTATTGTCGGCGTCGCAAACGTTCCTAGCTGAACTGGAAGCTGTGTGGAGGGAAGATCCGATGTTGCCAGGCTTGTCGGAAGTCTTGCTGAAACACGCTGAAAAATGTCAGGCCGTGTACGTAGCGTATTGCTCGAATCAAGTCAGCATAGACACAACTCTGAAAGAACTCAAGTAAGCCATGTTATATAATTACTTTTCATATTGATGTTTTTTAGAAGATTTAGATAATATATAATTTTTCATCAAATAATAACACACACACACACACACACACATATATATATATATATATATTTTTTTTTTTACAGAGCTCGGAAGGGTACGAAATTTTTGGAGGCTATCAGACGCATAGAGATGCGACCGGCGTGCCAAAATTTATCTTTACATTCCTTTCTAATGCTACCAATGCAGCGCGTTACAAGGTATATACAATGTCAATTGCTTTAATTAGACTTAAATTTCATTCATTAGAAGTTTATTTACTTGATAAATTTCGCAATCGTTATTAATCGAAAATTAATTCGTAGAAAGTACTTACAACGAATAATTCTCTGTAGGTTACCCTTATTAGCTGATGCCGTTCTATCCAAGTTATCGATGGGAAATTCAGATAGAATATCTTGGGAAAAAGTTCTGTCGACTTTAAGCGACGTCGTTGCTGATTGCAACGAAGGTGCTCGAGCTGCTATTCAAGAAGCTGAAATGGAAGCTTTGGCAAGGTATACTATTATTATTTAATATGTTCATTTTTTTATGTATTATATGTATACAAAATAAGTCACATTTTATATTTAACCGCAGGAAACTGGAATATGTCCCAAAAATCAAACCAATCATACTGAGAGGCAAGCAATTAGTCAGAAGTGGATCAGTCATACAATTATCGATGAAAACGGATACCGAATTCAAGCGGACATTTGGGAAGAAATTTAATAAAACCCCACTATATCTTTTATTACTCACTGATTATCTTCTAGTCACAAAATTAAAATCCAAGTAAGATCAAGTTAAAGTTTTTAATTGTATATAGTAAAATAATTTAAAAAAGTTTTAAAAGAGATAACGCATTAAAGTGAAAATAAGAGATAACACGAAATATGTTTTTCATGTGTTTTTCGAATAAATTCTTTAACATGCATAATTTAAAATAAAATATTTTGCAGTGCTAACAATGAGTGCTATACCGTCGTAGACGTGTGCAAACGGAATCTTCTAGCCTTGGAATCAGCTTCCGAGGAGTCGCCATTCTCTGGGCGAAATGCTATGATATTGACTTTCCTAGAGAATCATTGCGGTCGTCATGTAGAGTATGTCTTGACGTGCGAGAATAATACCGAACGAGAACGATGGCTGGAGGCTATCTCGCCACCCAAACGCGGTTTGGTTGGTGAAACATTGTATGAATCTTGGGATTGCCCACAAGTAATGGCCAAGTATCCATATTTGCCAAATCAACCAGACGAACTATCGTTACAACCAGGTAATATATATAGTGTATGTATGTTATTTATATAATAATTTAAGAAAAAATGTAGCAACGATTTTTTTGTCTATAAAAATTTATAATTTCCTCTAAATTCTATAAAACATTCAGATTAAATAATTTTTTTATTAAAATATATCATAAATTTTAAATCAAAAATAATTTAAAAACTTAAAAATAACTTAGACATTTCTTATAAATTTAATTTCTTCAAAATGTGCCTTTTGTAATGTTTAGCAATTCAATGATTGACTTCTATCAAATATTTTGTGGCCAAAAATATCGTAGTGCTAATAAATTCAAGTGTTGCTTTTTAGGGGATGTGATAAATGTATTGAAGAAAATGGCAGATGGTTGGTATCATGGTGAAAAATTATTAGATGGCGAGCAAGGATGGTTTCCGGCAAACCATACAAAGGAAGTTGCATCGGAGCACGTGCGTGCGCGGAATTTGAAACAACGACATCGTCTTCTAGCACTCAGCAGCAGTGTAATACAGCAAAGAAAGGCGAGACAAAATCAGGGAATTCACTGAAAAATTTAAAATGTGATGAATCGCTCAAATGTTGTGATCGTTAATAAATTATTTGTTTATATTACATACACACATACACCACATTTATTCATATGCGATTTCTATGCTAATTCAGTATTGAATAGATTAACTATGTGCCAATATGATACACTTGTCCATGTAAAAAGAATGATATTTTAAAATCTTTTATGATGGTATATTGGAGCTACAGAAAGCTCAGAAGGATAAGAAAGATGTATTTTATGTTTTATATGTATATTGTATATAAAATTGTGGAGAGGAAAAAAAAAGAGAGAATGTTGTAACAAAAGTATGCGTCATTTATTATTTTTATACAAATACAATATAAACGTTATTTTATATATTTCTTTATTTTTAAGAAGTCTTCAACTTTATGATATATGAGAATGTCTAAAATTGAAAAAATTAAAAACAAGTTAGTAAAAAAATAGTTAAAAAGATGGATGGAGCATATTATGAGTTTTCATAAATGCAAATTGTACAGTCTTGTATAAAGTATAAAAAAGTGCTCTCAGTTCAAGGATATTTTAATAAAGAAAAGTATTTTGAACTATAGAACTATCTACAAAAATTACCAAAAATATTATTTAAAACTGGTGTATAAATACGTTTAGTTTGATAGAATGCAAAATCTTATTGATGTGAATACTTCGTTATGTTTTTGTGAACCAGAAATTTATATTTCTTTTTGTTAAAGGCTGATCTTTATCTAAATGTGTTTATGTTAATAAGAAATTTATGCCCAACAAATTTCTAAATTTCTTCTATTGTGTCTTTAACCTTCAAACAATCCCTAAAAAAATCATTGCACTCAAATTTATACAATGACATAAAAATAACGTAAACGTATCGATCAACAAAATATGTAAAATTGTTATTAAATTAAAAATTCATTAATCGACGTTTATATGTTATTATGCCATTATCTTCAAATTGGTTACAATATTAATCAATGATGTGGGCTTTATCACAATAGATATTGAACAATGCTCTTATTGAGCAAACAATTGACTGCAGTTCATCAATGTTAAATTCGTGTCTTGGAATGTCCAGATGGTTTTACATCGAACAACTTTCTAACGAAATATACTTGGACCATAGTCGTCATCGTAATAACGACTACCTGGGCAATTGACCATGTCTGCACATAAGAATTATTGTCCAACAACAAATTCAAATCTCTTGCTTCTCTACTCCTGCTCCAATGTTGAACATGAAGCATTTCATTAATGTTTCTCTCCACATTTGTGATAGTAGTCTGAAAGAGACATATAATAATATCATTTAATTAATATAATACTACATAATATAAAAATTTATAATAATTATAATAATTTTTATATTTATATTTATAAATTTTAATGCCTAAGAAGCTTGCAATAAGCGCGACATACATACCGTAAAGTTCTCAACAGAAAGATTCAATTCTTGTAATTCCTCTGTATATTTCTGCCATTTATCATACCTAATAAAGTTAACAAAGTTAATAAGACAAAAATAATATATAATAATAAATAATAATAATACAATAATAGATGAGATGTCTTATCTATTTTCCAGATGTATCATATATCTTTACTATATTATTGCAAGAATCTTACCTGATCACAGTGATGTACAAATTGACTAATTTTGCGGCAAATCTAGAAAATTGGTTATCAATGCACACACTGTAATAACCGCCATTCTGCGATTGATCTTGATAATCAGCATTGGAACGCCATTGATAAGGATGAACAATGACTCCTTCTGGATTTCTCACTGCAAAACCAGCTTTTCCATCTCCACCACGTAAGACCTATAATTAAAATAAGTTACTTGAATTGAATCCAATATATTTGATATACTAAACTATCTGCCATTATTTTTATTTCAATATTTCTCTCATATTACATCTACTTAACACATTTTTAACAATGTACTTTCCTTGACATTTTATATGTTCTGCTATTAAAATTTTTAAATACAATTTTTAACAAATAATCTAGCAAAAGATTTTACTACATCGCAGTTCATATAGTTTTTCACATATAATCAAAAAGATTAGCAATCTCTCTATATAATTATCTATCTTATATAACAAAGTTATATTTGTCATATCTTCCACATGCACACAAGAAAATGGATGAACGCGTAGCCTACGAGCCTACGAGGTTGAGACCTACGAGGTCACAATTTTTTCCAAGATAGACGATTCATAAAGCTCGTCAGCACGCGACCGGCACGAGCTGTCAAAGCGAGCATACGCTCGTGAATTCACAAACAACATCGCGCATTCTTCCTCTCATTCGCCTCGAGAGAGACGTCGCGAGAGAAAGTCGATCCCGGCAACCATATGGTCGTCCAAACGAGTCGCGTCCCAACGCTCCTTGATCTTTCACCCGGAACGGCTTGCTCACGCTATTCCGTCTCTCGATACGAATATCCGGTCAGCGGTCACCTGGAAACTGACGAAGAACGTCGCGCCCGGATTCACATATTGGAAATAGCAATCCTCCTTGCCGGCATCGATGTGCACTTTGTAGTCCATCGCGACCGCGGGCAGGTTTTCATAGGAGAAGCCATCGGTCAACGGCGTGACCAGGAGGAGCACGCCGATTAGCAGGCTGCCGAATTGCACGAGGAGCGACATCGCGGCACAGAGCGATACGCATCACAACGAATGACGTCGTTGACGTCCGCGCGGCCACGCGTCGAGACCGCCGACCGCAGAACCCACGCTAGCAGGCCACGCGTTACGTTATCCCTCTATCGGCACCCGATCGAACTCGTCCATCGTACTCCTCAATCCTGGTCTCGGCTGGACGTTGATCTGTTGCCTTCACGGTTACATTTTCTGATCTTTCATGTGTCTCTCCTTTTTTTTCTCGAAAAACTTTCCTGATCCTCGAATTCTCTATTTCTGATTTGGTATTAGATATGCAGTATCAACGTTCTTTTTTCTTTTTCGATTTTTCTATAACTTTACAAATTTGCTTATTTTCATGCATATATATTCTGAGAAAAAAATCGTCAAGGTTTTTTGATATTTGAACTTCAATTCACATAAAAAGAATGAGAAAGGCATAAATTTTGAATTATAAACTATTTCCTGCTGTAATTTATATTATAAAAAAAATAATTTGTGTTTTTAATTAATTAAAGCAGAGAATATGATAAATATGCAGCCACAAATTCATTCAAATCATTCATTAAATTGTCATTTTCTACCAACATCAAAAAATGTTGAAAATCAGGAAAAAAATCAGGAGCGATGATTTTCCTTCTCGACTTCCTTCATAATATATTCTACGAATAAAAATACACAAATTTACAAAATTACAAAAAAAATCAGGAAAAAAATATTGCACTGCATTTACCTTTTTTTCAAGTATCGGAAACAATTTCTCGGATTACTAATTCTTGACTCCTTTTCGAAATTTGTTTAACGATTAGAGTAAAAGATTACGGGAAAGATAACAGAGATTAAATGTCCATTTCTCAATGTAAACTAATTTATATATCGATTTAATTCACTTTTTATCTTTTTCATATTTTTCGAGTTAAAAATATAGAAAATAGAAGATAAGTTAAACTAATATCAGTTAACCAATATTGGAAGAGATATGAAAGTGGACACAAGGAAATTTAATGATCGATGATTGAAAAATTGTAATAAATTGGACTTGCATCGAGGAAAGATCGACGCAAGACACAACGCAATAAAAATAGCGCATAAATCTACATTACAACTTGCTGTAAAAGCGAATCTAACTATAGATAAAACATGTTAGCATTAAAAATGACTTTGATAAACTTTGATAAATCTAATCGGTGATTAATTCAACCGACACATTACTTTCTGCAAACTAGTGTAGTAATTTATTATGCCTAATCTTTGTCTATTATTAAATAATAAAGAATTAATTACTCCATCCATATTAATAAAACATAAAGATATTTCTCGATAAGTTAATCAGTGAACTGCTTGTTTCAAAACTTGGAACTAATAATTTCCTATGTCTAATCTAATCTTTCTGTTTATATATTAAATAACGAAAAATATAAATTACTTTATTTATATTGTTAATAAAACAATACAGACATTGCTGGAGAACTTAATTGCAGATTAAGTTAATCAAGGATTAATTCAACATACAGTTAAAATTGCCCACAACAAAATTTCTTGCTATACAATTCGTTGCTTAACTATTCCTTCCACGTATCAAAAACAATGAAAGATGTAAATAATTTTTTTCCATACACTGTTAGAAAATTTGTGTACCTTTGTGAAAAAATTTGCTGATTAAAATTTTTATGTTAAATAAGCTACATATTTACATGTAAATTTAACACATGTCTACTATGTTAACTGATCTTAATAAACATAAAATGTAAAATTATTAAAATGATTTTTTAAAACGATTTTTAAAAATGTGTTAAAATAACACAATTTGTACGTGTTTATTAAATATGTTCAAATTTGCACAAAAAAATGTTTATTTTTAACAGGAGTGGGGATGACTTGTTATTATTCTTTGTGATTTCGGCATAGTCTCGAATTTTGATGCGTCTCGACATGTTTCAGTAATTTTATAGTGTTAGAATCCAAGTACCAGAATTATTTCATCTATCTTTTAGCAGATGAATCTTGTCACATATGTACATTTTTCTTTTATTGTTATTATAATTTAATTAAACTATTATGTGAGTTATTGTTAGTTTAATTTTTCACCTGAGATTATAAATGCTTCCTATAACTTAAAAACATTTATTCTTTTCGTTCAGAAGTAAATTTAAGATTGTCTTTTTATTATTAATATATTAATACAGAGTAATACAGATATTATACGTAAGAAGTTAATGGACGATTATCTGTAATATCTGTAAGTTATTAATTCGTGTCAAAGTCAAAGTTACTCGTCTATCGATATTATTTAGAGAAAGCTGTGCGAAGCAATAATTCTCGATATCGGTGCCGCACGTGTTCGTAATCGTTTCGCATTCGCATAAAGTACCGTCTTCCAACCGTCAGGACGTCTCGCCGTGACGTGATCCCCACTCCTTAGAGCTCCGTAATCGGAAAGCGGTGGAAAGCAACAGTCGGAATGGAGAGCACGTAGCGGCGCCAGAATTTTTGTGCGCACGCGAATCGGATAGTTTTGTGCCGCCTGCGAATGCCTGCATCGCGAAATCTCGCAAAGTGAGTGTCCGCGACAGCGTCTGCGATCGTGAAAATTCCGCATTCCCGACTTGCCATGCCGCGCAGAAGCCGGATCCGACCGGGAGAGCTAGGCACGCGAGCGCGAACGAATGCGAACGAACGCGCGAGTGATATTGTTGCCTTGTGACTCGCTCGCATTCGTCCGCTCGCCCGATCTACATCCGCGACGTGCTCCGATTCTTATTCGAAGAGGACATTCGAATCGCGTGAAAGTCAATTGGGTTGAATGGCGAAAAAATTCGAGAGAAATAAAGAAAGCAACCAAGTAGACGACACCCTATCGGTGTCGTAATCGGAAAGCGGTGCATTGCAGCGGACAATTGAAATAGTCTTTAAAAAAAAATAGTTAAAAAAACAGAATAGGACTTATTTCTTCGTTTTAGAAATTAATCGAAATTAATCGAATGAATGCGTTTTTGAAACACTGACACGTGAGACGGTACATTGCAACGCGCGTGTGCAACAAGTTGCACGATTGCGCAATCGAGGAATTACGTATTTACGAGTCGATTGAAAACTTGGCTCTTTCGTAATTTATTTTCCAAAACTCTACGGTTATTTCGCTCCTGCATTTTGATTTAAGTTCGCGATTTTCGCACAATTTACTCCTCGAGGAAAAGTATTTATCCAGGAAGTCAGATGAGCCCGAGCCAAGGTAGAACAGAAAATGATAAACGTCAAAATGACGAGAAAATGACTATATAGTTCATTTTTTTATTACCTTGATTACCTCATCGTTATTTTCTATTCTATCTAGAAGATACTCAGGACAAAAGTTATTTTATGCCGATCCGGACGATGAAAAGCATCGTCCGGGAGTCTGCAAGCGAACCGATTGGCACAACTCGCGGAAATCATTGCGATTCGGTGAAAATCAGTGGAAATAAGCCGATACATTACGGTACTCACCACATATAATAATCGCGTGTCCGGAGCGAAAGTCACGGATGCGCGTATATTCAGATCTAGTAAGATACGGAGAAAAATAGTACATATTAATCCGAACGAGCCCGGTAAACATAATACATTTTGTTACACATTTTTTTACTATTTAATATATATA